CACGTGAGTGCTGCAATCTGATTGGGACGCTCAATCCTGTGCTTAGTGCCACAAATTCTGTAGCAGTGTCACCAGACTCTTCTGCGCCACCCCCGCGCAACGAAGAGGCGGGGCCAGACTAAGTTGTTATATACTGAAGGAGATATGAGTGACACAAATTCTATTTATACATGCCTACATATTTGAATAAATTATTAAACAATAAAGAAATTTTTTTTTATTCTGTTTATTTGTTTTGTAATAAAAAGTACATACAATACAGTAAAATACACATGTTATTTGCAAATTGCAATATCTGTCTGCTTTCATCTTTTCTCTCCAGTAAATTTTGATAAAATGCATAGTATGGGTGGGGTCGTCTGCTGACATACACGACCCCACCCATATCCTACAGTCATATTAGACTTGGAGTACTCGACTACTCGTCTTGTGATTAACTAATGGCTGGTAAGTAAGTTCAAAACTACATTTAGGTGTAGATAGATAGATAGATATTCGTAATTTTATGTTACGTAGTTTTAAATCTATGGCTAGAGGAACAGTCCCCATATATAAACAAAAGCTACATATGCTTGTTTATGTGATTCTACTCTTTTCTTTTATCCAGGCAACCTGAGAAGCGATTTGGTAGCTGGACTTAATGAACAAGACGACATCACTCCTCTTCAGTTAGTAATATCAATACCACTTCACTCTGCAAACACAGGAGTACAGTTACCCACCAATGGTAACATCATTTCATCTCAGAATGTAGTTGTTGGTGCTTCAGGGGATTTCACTCCATCTCTTCCTTCAGTAAGTTAATTCCACTTGGCAAATGGTATACCCATAATAAGAAAAGTAATAAAAACTTTTCAGTAATTATGTAATTATTTTAAAAACAAAATAGTATGTTATACATAATATTACTGAAAAGTTTTTATTCTGAAGCAACCAACATGCTATCCATTAACTTGAAATGATTTGTCTCAAATTAACGGATAGTATATTGATTACTTGCTTGAATCAAGTAGAAATTTGTGCGATAGTAAGAGTATTTACTCAATAGTGATAGATTTATTCACAATTTCCCCCTCTCTTTAGCGTCAGCCACCTATAATGGGTGGTGGACAGCCCTCCTCTGCAAGCAATGACCCAGAGAAGACGAAACTCATCCAACAGCAGCTAGTACTCCTCCTTCATGCTCATCGCTGTCAGCAGATTGAGAGAGAAAAAGGTACATTATGGAAACCTTGCCAGCTGCCACACTGTAGGACAATGAAGAATGTTCTTAATCACATGACAGATTGTCAAGCAGGAAGAGACTGTCAATGTATGTCACATGTCATTTTGATATTAGATTTGGATGATGAAATTACCTTATATTCCTGAATAGAAGTCTAGGCTTTTATTTCTTATCTTCAATTTAAACACAAGTTTCTGTTTGAGGGTTTTTTCATTCCTATATTTGCTTCTACTTGTATATTTTCTTAATACACATAGCCCTCAAACTTCTAATTGGCATAGGCTTTTATTGAAAAATACATGTATAATGCACATATGATTGAATAGGGCATAGAAAATTTTATCAAGGAACTTTTGCCAATATACATGTTTAAGCTATTCATGAATAATTCTGTTTGATGTTAATGATATGAATGAGTATCCCAAAGGATAAACACCTCCTATGAGGTGTTTATAGAATTTTGTAAGCAACCTTGATTCCAAATTCGATAAACACCTCATAGAAAGTATTTATAAAAAGTTGTAAACAGCAAAATTTGTCTCATCAAAAGTTTACAGTTATAAAGTACATGTATACCACCTAAGCCCTCTTTCCCCTACACTCGTTATAATTATCCATTAACAATAGATTTATGCATCATTGCACTCTCATATAGATCAAGATCATTCCATAATCATAGCTTATTTCTTTCCATCCTTTCTCTCTTCTTTCTTCTTTCTCTCTCTAGTTCCTCATTGTGCTTCTTCAAGACAGATCATTTATCACTGGAAGAACTGCAACCAGCAAGAATGTCCTGTATGCCTTCCTCTTAAGAACACCACTCGTCCCAATGTGGGTGGTTCCATAGGTGGAGTCCCTAATTCAATGTTTGGTGGTGACGTCCCTCCAGTGAGTCTCCCACCACACCTGGTCCCAAAAGGTACGAATATTTACCCAGGGCAAACCATACCACACTCTGCCCCTCCCACTGGTGGCGTGGCTCCAAATCAGCAAATTATGGGTGGTAATACATGTAAGTGTTGGAGGTTTGGGTAGCTTGAAAAAGATTTTGTTTAAATTTTTAGTACATTGTAAATGTAATTCATAGTAGTCATTCTAATCATTCTTATGCTGTGTAGCACTTATATTTTTGTGGATATAAAATTTTGTGAATTTTTCCTGCTAGGCATTCACAGATTTAAATTAATTTATTTATTGAACAAATTTAATAGAGTATAATTTCATAAATTTTAACTATTAACAAAATTTATTATATACAAAATATTAATTTTTTTATAAGTGGTATGTGGCATATTGATGAGGTGCATTGGATTCTTAATTTCTTTTGCATATAACGATGAAGCTTTTTGGATGCATTTTCTTATAAATAATGATAGGTATGATTTATTTTTTGTTAATTTTATAGCTACTGGTGCTATGGCTCCTGGTCAGAATCCACCTTTACCTCAAAAAGCCGGCCAGCCTCAAGGAGGAGGAGTTGGAGGAGTTAATCCTAATCCAATGGGACCAGCTCCTGGTCTCCCTCCTTCTTCTACAAGTGGACCCATGGGCCCTAATCAATCGATACCCCCTAACCAATCCGCCATGCCTCCTAACCAGTAAGTACAGTAATACTTGTATACATGTTCTTTCTCTCTCTTTTTGTTTTTATTGTATTTTTATTATTTTTTGCCTTTTTAGTGTTAAAGCGTGGCATGCTGAAGTTAATTTAGATCTAAGGAATCACCTTATTAAAAAACTGTAAGTTAATTTACATACATGTACATGTACATGTACATGTACATGTACATGTACATGTACATGCATACATGTGCACAAGAGTACATCATGTACTCTTGATGTGCATAGTACCTCTCTTATCTTTCTGTTTCCCTTCATTTCTTTCTCTCTCTTTCTTTCTCTCTTTAGAGTTGAAGCAATATATCCAGTTCCTAATCCAAACAGTATGCATGATAGTAGTGTGAAGAGTCTATTCCAATATGCAGTGAAAGTTGAGAATATGATGTTTGAGAATGCAAGCAGTAGGGTGAGTTTAATTGAGGGGTGTGGTCAATTTTAATTGATGGGTGTGGTCAATTTTAATTGTGTCTTGTAGGAGGATTATTATCAGAAAATAGCAGAAAAGATTTATCGTGTTAGAAAAGAACTGGACGAGAAGAGACAAATGCATGAAAGAAGAAAAGGTAAGAGAGAGAGCTGACAATATACATATGTACCAACAATCCAACATTCATTTATACACATGTAAATATTATCATTAACTTTATGTTCTGCACATGCACACATATACTGTTTCATTAATTTCTCTTTTTGTGTCCCTCCCTCTCTTGATCTCAGGCTTTGTGCCATTTTCCTCCCCACCTGTCTCTGTGAATAATGTACTACAAGAACTCAAATCCTCTATCCCTTTATCAGCTATGGGCGGTACTTACTGTAATAATTGTAGCACAAACATCAAGTTTAGGTGGCATTGTAAAGAATGTTGGGTAAGTATATACTGTACATACACATGTACATACAATGTGCATGTATGCATTATGCAGTAATTTGTGTATTTGTTCAATTGTATTACATATTTGTATTGTTTCTGTTAGTATTACAATCTCTGCTCCACCTGTTACCCAGTAGTTGGTCATGTGCATCCAATGGAGAAACTATTTCCTGTCTCAAATGGTAATAAAAACATGTTACTTAACAATTTAAAATCAAATTAAAATTATATTTTCATTGTTGTGTCTAGGAGTTGTGGATAAGTGGCTAAAAGAGGGCAGTGTTGAGCTAACTGTTACTCGTGTTAACATGCATGGACCTCCTGGAGCTGGCAAAACCTGTGCACAACATTTTCTACTAAATGAAGACCCACCTACCGAGTGTGTCACTGACAGTACGCCAATCGCTCGTCCAACTGTCAGAGCTACAAGAGTATCCGTTGACAATTTGAAATGGGAAAAAGTTACTAGAGCTGGTTTACTTGAAAGACTGGCTTCTGATTTAAATGTAGCAGCTGCTTCTCAGCCTGAAGAATATACTGAATCTACTTCACCTTTAAATGTACAAGCACATCAACCAGAACAACACAGTGACCCTATCATCAATTCTGATTCCACTTCTATTTCCAATTCTGATCCTGTCATCAATTCTGATCTTATCACTGATTCTGATCCTGATCCTGTCATCATCAATCCTACTTCTAGCATTAATTCTGATTCTATAGAAATAAATGAAACTATTGTTTCAAATAATCAAGCAAGCTCAATATCAAATGAAGCCAATAATGATGAAACTGAAACTGTGATTCAAGAAATTATAGACACAATCCAACGATCAGCAGTTCAGTTAAGTGGCCATTGGTTGTATATCATTGATTCTGGAGGTCAGCCAGCATACCAGGAGCTATTGCCATTGTTCATTAGAACAGCTTCTCTCAATATCATCACTCTTGATCTCTCCCAACCTCTTGATAGAAAGCTTGATTTTCAGTACAGAATTGGGGGAGAGACATTTTCATGTGGCTTGAATTTAAAGTATTCAAATCGGGAATTCTTTCAGTCTGCAGTTTCTTCTGGAGCCATTTTGAAACCAATTGATGTCCCTCATGTCCTTGAAACACCTTCACATCCAATGCATTTTGTGTTAGGCACACATTATGATCTCATAAGTCAAGATAGCCTCAAAAAGATTGATAAAGAGTTAATGTCTTCACTGAAGCCTGACATACAAAATTATGTTGTCCACAATAAACGTGGCGAGTCCATCATATTTCCCATTAATACACTAGTCCCTGCAGATAAAGGAAGATTGGAAGCAGGACAGAAACTCTGTCAGTCAATAGCAAATTGTGGAGGCACTTCTCTTAAAATGCACATGCCAATTCGATGGTTTGCATTTGAGCTTTGGTTGCAAAAAGTAGCAGAGAAGAAAAGTCGTAATGTTCTCGTAATAGATGAAGTTATATCTGCTGGTAAAAGGTTTAAAATGAGTGAGGGTGATACTAAGGATGCTTTACAGTATCTCCACAGTGTCACTATTGTCCTATATTTTCATGATATCTTGCCACAATTAGTTTTCATTGATCCTCAGCCTATTCTTGAGATTCTATCACGTTTATTGGCTCTGACTTATGTTGAAAGAAGTGCATTGCACCTTATCACCAATCCAGTACCTTTAGATGAAGATATTAACAAGCTTCATAATTTTGGTTCTTTCAGGAAAAGCTC